TTAAGTCATCCGTATAACTAATAGGAGTGGCAAAAGGCTGTCTTCTTGGAATATTCCACGTTTGATGTTGACATAACCTAATATTTCATCTGCGTTCAACTGTACCTTCCATTTCGTCATACTCTTTTCAAGGACGTTCATAATATTATCAGCTGCCCCAACCAATTGTAGACTCTTTAGTATCCGCGAGTGTGGTATCATGTCATATGCCTTTTTATAATCCACGTGCGCCATAGCTAAGTTGGTGTGTCTTCTTTTACAGTTCTTAAGTACCATTCTATCAATGAGTAGTTGATTTTTCGTTCCGCGTGTCTCTTTACGACAGCCCTTCTGTTCTGATGGTAACATATCATTAGTATCTACATGCTCGTACAGCTGCTCGGACAGCATACCCGTTAGCAATTTCCACATTAATGGTAAACATGAAATAGGTCTGAAGTTACTCGCAGCATTTCCCTTACTCCTGTCCTTCACACATAGTACCGTTCTTCCATACGTCATCCATGCTGGAACATCCCCACTTTCGACAACTGTATTCAACTGGCAAGCAATTCTATCGTGTAATGATGACAAGTTTTTCAGCCAATAGCCTTGTACTCCGTCAGGCCCAGCTGCTTTCCAATTTGGAATTTTCCCCGTTTGCTTTCTTAAATCTTGGACAGTGATTTTCACATTATCTTGCATACTGACTCTACTTGATTCATTTTCGATCCCTCGTAGCCATTCTGCATTGTCCTTATATTCCACTGGGTTGTCCCATATTTCACTCCAAAACTTTCTACTTTCGTCCGCATTTGGTACTATGTTCTCTTTAATTACTTCACCATTCAATTCCATGAAAACTCTCTTTTGGTTTGATGAAAACATCCTGTTTATTCTAAATTGGTTTATCCGCTTTTCATATCGTATTATTATTATTATTATTATTATTATTATTATTATTATCACTGTTATTATTGTTATCATTATTATTACTATTATTATCACACACACACACGCACACACACACACACATACACACACACACACACACACACACACACACACACACACACACACACACACACACACACACACACACACACACACACACACACACACACACACAAACACACATACATATATAGATAGATAGATAGATAGATAGATAGATAGATAGATAGATAGATAGATATATACACACACACATGTGTGTGTGCACATATCTGTGTGTACATATATATGTGTATATATATTTATGTATATATACATATCTATATATTATATATATGTATATAAGTATACATGTATTCTTTTATTTATGAGCAACACCAACCATCGGTGAATGATTGATAAGGTATATTGTGGATATTTGTTATAATCTATTCATAAAGACAATGCAATTACCTACAATTACCTACAGCTCCAAATTGTCAGCAATATCCTTTTTCTTTACTTCTGTCTTTAGTGCCATTATCATATTGATAAATACATAGCCAGCCTTGAGACCAGTGTATTTCTTATAAAAAAAATACATAAAACTAATTTCCTTCCCCCACAATTAAAGGAGTTGTACGTAATAAATTAATAACAGTTCTTTATTTATATTTACCTCTCTATCGCTTTGGGGGAAAAAGGTAATTACAAAAAACGCAGTCACACATATCAACGAAACGAGTAGATTTTATAATCTGCCAATTCATCTAGCTCGTGGACCTAAAGACAAAAGCCCGTTATAGAAGTCTTGGCAACTCGCGTGACAGGCAGGAGGGTATATATATTCCCCATCGGTTCGTCCGCGAGGAGTTTGTCAAGTCAGCAAGTAAGTAATTCGCAAGTAATTCGCAACTTGTCGTCAAGCTAGGTGTTTTGTTGTATAAAAGGAAAATTTGATCTTCAATGTCCTTGAGATCTTCAATTGGAAATTAAGATCATTCAAGCACTTCAGTAGTATTGAATATTAACTTACAAATATCTTCTCCAGACCTGTCACCAGCATGAGGTTCGCGGTGTTGTGCATTGCTCTGGCCGTCGCATCTGCCATTCCGGTGCCAGGTGAGAAGTTGCAATTATATCATCATAAGCTTTATTACTACTACGACTACCATCTCAAGACTACAAGTTCAGCTTTATCGCTATCGTCACCATCATCATCATCGTCATCATCATCATCATCATCATCATCATCACATCATCATCAACCTCGTCGTCATCATCATCATCATCATCCTCATCCTTATTATCACCATCATTATTATTATTGTTGTTGTTATTGTTGGTACTATTATTATCATCATCATCATCCTCATCATTGTTATTATCATTACTGTCATCATTATCTTTTTTAGCGTTGTCAGTCTTTTATTACCATTTTTTCATTATCACTATTATTATCATAATTGTCATTATCATTATCATTCTTGTTATCATTATCATTATTATTATCACTGTCATCGTTATCATTATTACCATCATTGATAGTTAATATCGCTACTGTTCTTATCATCATTATCTTTCTTAT